TTCTCAGGCCAGGGGTCTCACAGAGTGATGGTATGAGCATTGTTGGGCGTGTCTCCTAGTACCCATGGGACTCCTTCCAGAGAGCGAGAACCACCCGTCACAAGGCAGATTTATCTTCATCTATTTTTACTAGCAAAGTTTAGCCAAAGTGATTAATTCGCATGCCTTTAATATGCCACAGACAGAGTGACCTCACACACTATTGTCATATTGTACTTCTGGAGATCTCAAATCCATAATGGGACCTGTGGAACTAAAATCAAGATGGCCACACTAAAATCTTTCCAGAGGGGCAGGGGTTTTTTGTTGTTGTTGTTGTTGTTGTTGTTGTTCGTTTTTTTGATTTTTGGAGGATGTTCATATTCTTGACTAGTGGCATCTCACTTTTTGTTGATGTCATTCTCTGGTCCGTCAGCAGCTCCTACCCTGACTCTTCCGTACTCTCCACATCTGAAGGGCCTTTCAGTTACTTTCAGACATGTGGGCATATGTGTATCATACTACGTACATAATAATATACAGTAATATGTGATGTGTGGTAATCTAGTATCTGGTGTTATTTTATGATGGCCACACTGGGTGATGGTGGCACGCTCTTTTAATCCCAGCACTTGGGAGGCAGAGGCAGGTGAATATTTAAGTTCGAGGCCAGCCTTTTCTACAGAGAGAGCTCCAGGACAGCCAGGCCTACACGGAGAAACTGTGTCTTGAAAAACAAAACCAAGCAAATGAAAAAGGAAGGGAGGGAGAGAGGAAAAAAAGAAAAAGAAAGATGATGTGATATTCCCCTCTGTATGCTGTGAAATACCATTGGTTAATAAAGGACCTACAGCAGGGCGGAGCTTAGCTAGGTGGGGAGAGCTGAACTGAATGCTGGAAGGAAGGAGGTGGAGTTAGAGAGAAGCCATACAGCCCTGCTGGAGATGAATGCCAGAACTTTACCCTGTAAGCCACAGCTTCATGGTGATACATAGATTAGTAGAAATAGGTTAAATTAATATGTAAGAGTTAGCCAATAAGAAGCTAGAGCTAATGGGCCAAACAGTGATTTAATTAATACAGTTTCCTGTCTGGTTATTTTGGTTCTGGGTGGCCGGGACAAACAAGAAGTCTTTTTACAACAGGAAGGAAGGGAGGGAGGGAGGAGAAAGAAATGAAGAAAGAAAGAAAGAAAGAAAGAAAGAAAGAAAGAAAGAAAGAAAGAGAGAGAGAGAGAGAGAGAGACAGACAGACAGACAGACAGACAGACAGACAGACGGGGAAAGGTTATTCTACCATATCCTGTAAGTTCATGGAGGCAGGCTCATGATCTCTTGGCACCCAGTTTGGGAACTGCAGATGTACAGTAATTTTAAGGTGCTCACAGCTTCACCACCAGCATTCCCTGTTCCCTCCTGAGGCGCTGTTTCCACTTTCCGGGCATATCACCACTAGAAAGCAAGGGTAGCATCCACTGCCCTTGGCAGGTACCATCAGGGAAGCAAGTGAGCTCTGGTGAGGATAGGAAATAGTAGATACGGGGTTTCAGTCCAGGCTCTCCCGTCCTCACCATGACGGTTCTCTCAACAGATTGGTGAGTTCCAACTTCTGGCCCTTTGCATGTGATGGACTGAGTTACATGCTGCAGACGCAGGAAGGAGCGTTTGAGAATGCATCTATGTACAAACTTGCTCTTTGAATCATTGAAGAGGCTGCAGGGGACTGGAGATGTGAAGTGGTTTGGGTTAGAGAGACAGTAGAGGGAAGACCACTCTGGCGTCCACAGCTTGCCCTTCCTGTGGCGTAGAGACGCCAGGCAGACAGCAGAGGGCACTCTTGAGTCACAAATTTAAAAGAACAACAACAGAAACATTTCCTCTGAACCAGGACCTGCCTCACACAGGGATAATTAGAGCCAGGTATCATTTTGAGGTAGTTTTGCTAAGTTTAAAAAACAACAACAAAACAGACAAACAAAGTAAACTAAACCACAGCTTGGCGAAAAGAGAGCTGGCCCAACAAATTCACAAGTAACTCTGGACCCAGAGCCTTGCCCTAAGGCCACTCCATCTGAGCTCTTGTGCCTCCTGATGTGACAGGACCCTTCCCACATCCTACTATTGGGCTGTCCAAAGAAAACTTTTCAAGACCAACTTCCTGTAGGTTTGCTATGGTTTCTCTCGGAGGAGGAGCAGAGACTCAGCTAGAGCTATACCACAGTGATGGCGCACTAGCTCGTAATTCACTGGGCCCTGGGGTCCATCCCTGTACCACTGCCACACGCTCTGTGTGTGTGTGTGTGTGTGTGTGTGTGTGTGTGTGTGTGTGTGTGT